ACAAGAGTGGCACTTTACAATGGCTTTAATGAGAATAACCACTAGATCCTACTTGGAGAAAATGGTTTAAGATTAGTGGACTACATTTTTTGGGGGGGGGGGGGGGGGGGGGGGTTTGATCAAAATGATATACCATAAGAGACCACAAGAGGTCACTCTCACTTTAGAGAACATTCATGATCAGAACTGAATAATACAAAGCATTCTTCCAATTTAAGAGTTGTTGCATTTTTTCTTATTTTGTTTGCTTTGTTAGTAAAGTTTTTAAAACAATATACTTTCAGTTTTCTAGTTAGAGAGTCGGAGTGCTCAACTTCAATTCTCCCAGTTCAAACTGAATCTCATGGGTGAGTATATGGAGTACTTTTGGATCCCGTACTTGGTTCTCAATCAATCCCAAATCACTTATTCAATAAATATTATTCTAACGATATTGTTTCTATGTGTTATTTTGTTGTTAGAAATATTTAAATTATAGCTTGCCTAATGTCAGTGTACTAAATAAGTGTAAGAAAGGGAAGGAATGAGTGAGCAATTTTTCTCTTTTGGGAAGTTTTAATAAAAATTTCTAAACTACATTATTAAAAGCAATATCAAAATATCAGATGATTTCCCACTTTAAAGGATGTTTAATTAATCTAACTGAAAAACCAACTGAAATTTTCTTTTTCTCCCCAATTTTCTTTTTTCCCCCACTGAAAATTCATGAAAAAGGATGCTGCTTTTGCTTGATAGTTTGCTACAGAATTTCAGAAGTATGATCTTGAGAGTTTGAAAAAAAAGGTTTTAGTGACTACCTGAGGTCTATAGACTTCCAGCTCTAAAGCAGCTTACTCTGATCTTGTTTTACCTTGACTTTTGTGTGCTTATGTGCCAGTGATGGGATTCAAATTTTTTTACTACTAGTTCTATGGGTGTGGTGTGGCTTGGTAGGCATGGCAGGGAAAGGATACTGTAAAATCTCCATTCCCTCCCCACCCCACTAACCTGCTTTCCAGCTCCATTCTCCTGTGCAGGGCAACAAAAGAAAACCCAGCCAATCGGCTGGGACTTGGGAGGCAGAGAATAGATGGGGGCGGAGACAGTAAGAGGTAGTATTTGCCGGTTCTCTGGACTACTCAAAATTTCAGCTACCGGTTCTCCAGTACTGGTCAGAATCTGCTGAATACCACTTCTGAAGTGTTGGTTATCTGCGTGTCTGTGTGCCTCTATAGTGTTGATTCTTGGCAACTGCATGCAACTCCCTGCAGTTTTCTTGTCAAGATTCCTAGAGCCGCAAGAGAGTGAGTGGCCAAGGGCACCCAACTGGCTTCATGACTAAAGGGAGACTAGAACGCATAATACCCCGGGTTCCAGCCTGTTTAACCACTATACAAAATTCACAAGGCTCTCCTTATAAATTTAATGGGCCACAATGCCAAAGACTGAACTACAACATGTACCAGCAAAATGCTTATGGAAATTAAGTGTCAAAGGATTTTTGTCTTTCTAAAGATTATGGGTGAAAGCAGTGGCAGAACAGCCTACTGATAAAAGAACTTCCTTCTTGTTGCCAGACACAAAAAGATGCTCCCTTCTCTTCCTCTCCAATGGAGCCATTGCTTCTCTCTTCACCACTAGCATTTGGATGCATTTGTGCTATAGGTTTCACTAGGTTAGTTCAGGGGTCCCCAAACTTTGCAACTTTAAGACTTGTGGACTTCAACGCCCTGGGAGTTGGAAGTCCACAAGTCTTAAAGTTGCAAAGTTTGGAGACCTCCGGGTTAGTTAAAGACCTAGTGACAGCATTTACAAAAGCCCTGGCTGTCCATGTTGTTCTTTGTACTTTAGTAAGTTGGACCAATTTAGTCTGTTTAGGTTAGTTTATGATTCAGTAAAGTGTACAAATTCAGAAAATTGGCTTAATCCTTGGAGTGAGATGGCAAGGAGCAGTGAGGCTGAGATTGTACTGATGGCATCTCAGTACAAAACTCAGGAAAATGTCTTGGGTTTTTCTGTAAATACACAACAGCACAAGGAATAAAATGGATCCTTCAGGGACACAATAGGTCAAACATAAAATGTAAAATTTTACTGATACATATTACCTTGCCCAGGGCAGTATATCACAATATTAGTAGAGCCCCGTAACAACCCTGTGCGTTTTCAGTGAGTGGTTATTGAACAAAATTATTCAGTGGGTTTCATGGTTAAGTGAAAGATCTGAACTCCTGATTCCTAAAATCTAGGCCTCATATACTTCTTGGGATAAAATTAATGGGGCTATTCTACAGCAGAGTTTACAACTTAAGGAGAAAAAGTTGATGGTACAGTGAAAAAGCAACTAGTGGCTAATTACTTGACAACTATGTGTGATCCAGCACTGTGAATTTTCTCACAGAATCCAGGTCAAATCTCTTGCCCACAAGAATCCATTATAAAAGAGGATTGCAGCCATCAGAGTTGAATTGAGACCCCTCATAAAATTGAGGACTGGGGCTTCACTGCAGTCTACGAAAGCTATAAGCCGGCCATGGACCCCAACCCTTCATTTGATTCACCACCTGGTTGCCCAACTGCTGATTCCAGTTATCTGTAAAAAAATCATTCGCTGTGGGAGTTTAGAAGCTTTGATAATTTAGAGCTATTGTTAGTACCTGGGTGTGAATTGTGGCTCCCTGTCACCAGCACAAAAGGTAGGACAAGAGTTATTCCTTCTGAACTCAGATCAAGAGAGAAGGGGTGGTAGAGAAGGAGAAAAAAATAATTACCTTCCATAAGATGATCTAGTCTTACCTTTGAGTGGGTCAAGAATTGTCTTTCAATTTACACAATAACCAATACATTCAACTGAGGGTATCTCCTAAAGAGTATCATTACAACTCAGAGAACAAACCCTTCAAAAGTAGGCAACCTTTCCAATTATCATCGGTACCATCAGTCCTCAACTGGTTCATGTATAGCACCCAGTTGCAAAGAAATAGTAATTGGAATTAGTGCAACTGTGGCATAAAAGCTCTTGGTTAACCTTAAGAAGTTGCACTTTACAAGTAACTCAAACTATCTTTCAGTCTTTTTTCCAAACCAAGCAGCACCTGCCAAGTCTCTAAGTCAGGTGTATCCAATCCACAGCCTATGCGCCACATGAGGCCCTAGACAGCCAGTAAAGTGGCCCTACAAGATTGTAAACTTTTACATTATGTGATTTATTGTATTATATATTGTATACGAGGCCCAGGACAATTCCTCTTCACTCAATGCAGCTCAGGCAAGCCAAAACATTGCACACTCATTCTCTAAGCTTTCCCTTCTTTGTACCTGCTTTTTTCAAAATCTTTTACTCATAGTCAACATGCAGTTTTTAGCTGATAATCCCTGACTCCTTCTGCATTTATCATTAAATTATCATAAGTTATCACAATACATTAAATTAAACACGAAGAAATTCTCTAGGAGTCTCTAAAGTCAAAAGGCTGGACATCATAAAAACAGAATGGCAAGATACCAGAAAAGACAATTAGTCCAAGCTTATGCTAAAGTAGCTCAAGCTAAAATGGAAACTACGGAGGGGTCTCAATTCAATGAAATAGCCTCTTTTGTACTCAGATAATCATCAGACTTCATCCACCAGCATATGATGAAAAAAACAGCCACGTAAGATTTGGGATTGCTACTGTCACTTGTTGAATATTGTTGAATAGACAATATTCAACAAGATAAACAAATAATTTGATTCTATGGTGCACTTTCCTAAAATACTATGACATTGTCTTTACTCGTGATAACACCTATTTAGCTGTCTCCATTCTATCAAATCATAAAGAAAGAAAAATTGGAGAACTATAATACCACTAAATATTAGAAAAGAAAAAGGAAACAGCAAGTTTCTACTCCATAAAGCAATGAAGGTAGTTTTCAGGCATATTACAGGTTATACCTTAAAAAAACATAGTTCTATGTTTGTCTAGATAGCTTTTCTTGGGAGGGGGAATCCAACACTGGGATAATTTACATACCTATAATTAGCAAATGAGTCTATTTGTCAGAGAATTTAGGAAACCTAACCTATTCTAAAAGATAGTTGTTCTATCCCTGTTTAACAATCAGAGAAAAAAATACATTTAGTGACTGTCTTGTTCAGTGAATGTTTGAAATTAGGACAGTGATGAAAAAGTAACTTTGCAACCAATCCTCACAGGTCAACAAAGGAAAGAAAAGTTGAAATAAGGTCATCTCACTTGGTGACTGCTTAACAACTGAGTTGCCAGTCCCAAATTTGATTGCTAAAAGAGGGCTACCTGTAAATTTCTGCCATTTTTCTTGATGCTAAAAATTTACCTAAGCAGACAAGTAAAAACCTATCTTGCTGCAATGTTTTTACTTCATTAGTCCCCTATCTTTAACCTCAAGGAAATTCTAGAAGTCAAAAGTTCCAACATCTGGTATCATATCAGCCTTTATGGTTAATACTGTATGTACTCTGCAAATACAGAAATCTGTTTCCATGATAATATTACTATTTGAAGAACTGTTAAAATATATTATTTAAAACAGAACATGTTAATTAATAAGAAATGAATTATATAGTGCAAATAATGAATCGCCTTTTCTTTCCATAGATCAAATGCAGCTCCAGAACTATATATGATTCTTGGCCTAATTTCATACAACCCTCTGCCTAGTTTCAAGTGTCTTCTGGAAATTATCAGATTTCTAGCAGCCTGCAAGAAAGCAAACTTGGTGACAAAAAGAGGAAGCCCTGTCCTTCAGTCCCAGCAATTTTTAAATTAATTTTTAGCTTTACACCCCATCTTTATTTTGTACAATTCAAGATGGTTGGCTAAATTTCCTTCTGGGTTCAGTTCCAAGTGGGGAAGAAAGACACTGGAAACATGGTGACTGCTTGGAAAGATGGTTTAATGGTGGACAGGACCACATGGCTTGGAGCTCCAAAGTGAAAAGGATGATCACTTGCTTCAAGATGTTGGGTGAAGGAGAAGAAAGGGAAAGATCAGGTGAGCTTCTGCCTCTCTGAGTTTCTACTTTCCTTTTAGGGGAAATATTCTGCCTTTTTAATATTTCCTAGGATATTCCATAGGGGTGGGTGCCAACTTCCTACAAGACGATGCACATTAAGCTCCTGCCTATTTTTCTTACCATAGCCCTATGAGGTGGATTAAGTTGAGAGTGTAATTAGCCCGGAGCCCTCCAGGCAACTCTCCAAAATACTGTAAGGATAGCAACCCTGCAATTCATCTCTTTAAAAGTAGTGAAATTTTGTAAATTTCCTATTTGTCCTAAGTAGATATTAGTTGATTTTTTAATGTGCAAAAAAGATTTACAATCATAAAGATTTACAATCATTGTTCTTGGAATTGATAACTGAATGAATTGATTTGTCCATAGTTTTTTCCTCTCACTGAAATCTTTCAAAACTAATAAGAGACTTTAAAAATCTTGGGATTTTTAAGCCAGTGGGGGAAAACAATAAACTGCTCATCAAGAGCATACACACCAAGACAAATTCCTTGTGCATCCAATCACACTTGGCCAATAAAGAATTCTATTCTATTCTTTTATCAAGTCCTTCACTTTGCAAATACGCCTCAAGGAAAAGAAGCAAAGGATATGCAGTATATGTTTGAAAATATCATGCAAGTTCCCATATCTCCCTGAAGCTAACTGAGGCTACTTCTTTTCTTGCCTTTACCAGTCCCTCTCATATGGCTCCCGGTAAGGCAACCCCAGATGTACAAACACATCCTTCTCAGTAGGCGTGGACAGGACAATCCCAGATCCAGTTTTGAGGCCATTTGGTCCTCGCACTACACCACTGCAGAGGGCATGCTCTGACAGACTCATGCCTTTAGTCCTGGCCAGGGCTCGCATGGAGCGATTGAAGTGGGCTGAGCCCGTGAAGTACAACAAAGCACAGGCAAACTCTCTGTAGGGCACCACAATGATGTCGAGGCGCCTGTGGTGCCTATCTGGGCCTGGTAAACGGCAGACTCCGAGGTACTTCTGCTGGCTTCCATTGTCTTCCTGATTCACCAAGTCATCCGTGAGAAAGCCTGAGTGGAAAGCACAATATGTGAGACAAATACTGTAGTATTATTGCAAAGGATTGAGAAGTAAGTTGACACTAGGAGCTGCCCTCTTACTTATATCAGTCTCAGGTCCTGCCAGATCAATATAATTGGAACATTCCTGAAGGACAAGACAGGACATCACGGTTCACAGTGACCTGGTCTGCCTTTTCATAATGTTTTGCTATTAACTAAAAACAAAAGAAAAGGGACAGGCTCCCCAACATGAAGAACTAGTTAAACAAGTACCTTAGAGAACAATAAATAGCCCAGCCCTTATCCCCAAAAGTCCAAGAAAGAAAGAGAAAGTAGTTCCCCAGTATAGCAGCAGTTACTGGTCTACAGTATTCAGCTTTAGGAAAAAGTGCCAAGCTCAACTCAAGCTAACAAAACTAGGCCCCTTCTGTATTCCTACTTATGTTTTCTTTAAATAGTTCTCAAGGTGGATACATTCAGGAATGAGTCTGAACTCCCAGCCCCACCACAGAACTATTCTCATACCACTTTGATGAAGAACGTCGAGCAGTTTGTTGAATACTCCTTGGTGGGAGCATCCATCAGGATGAGTCACCAGTACATCCACGTCTCCACAAGTGGGTTTTCCGCGCCGGAAAGAGCCACATGCTATACAAACTAGTTCAGGTATAATAGACAGAGCTGCTTCTCTAACCTTAAAGAGACAAATCAGAGAAATTAACTGCTCTCAAATACCACTTACTGTAATACAACAATTCTCAACTTATAAAGGAGAGTGTTTGTAGCTGAGAGTTGAAATAAGGAGTCCCTGGTGCTCTCAGAGCTTGGTTGTTTTCTTCCAGACATTTCATTACCTAAACTAGGTAACATCGTCAGTGATAATGATGCTAGCTAGCATCGCAAGCTATCACTAGAAAACAACCAAGCTCAGAGACTACCAATCCTCAACTTACAAGCACAACTGGGACAGGAGCTTCAAGAAGCGAAATAATCGAGTCACTGCCAATTTTATGACTTTTTTGCTGCAGTCATTCAGCAAGTCACATGGTTGCTAAAGGAAGCTGGATTCTCCCAATGACTTTGCTTGTTGGAAACTACCTGGGAAGGACACAAATGGTGATCATGTGACCCCAGGACACAGCAACCACTGAAAATACATGCCAGTCACCAAGTGCCCAAATTTTAATCACATGACCGTGGGGACATGTGATGATAAGTGCAAGGACCAATAGTAAGTCACTTTTTTTAGCAACCTCATAACTTCAAACAGCTGTTAAAAATGGTTGTAAGTCAAGGACTACCTGTAATTCAATGACCTAGCATTTCATTTGCTTGACATGATTGATAAATAAAACAAATTGAAAAGTAAGTGCCACCATAATACAAATATTTTCTAATGAACAGTAAAATAATATCATAGAAATAAAGGGAAATCCCATTAGATTTAATCTGTTTCTCTTAGAACATAGAACCGCAGAAGACTTCACATTGAAAAGGATTCAATTTATCCTTGCCTGAGAATGGATGATTCTCCTGCTATAGGCCTACACCTCTTACTTTGGTATCCTGTATGGAATCTTAATCCCAAGAAATTGGCTGTTCTTTCAGAACTGCAGTTAAATATCAAGAACTGGAACTCCCAATCCAATAAGCATGGCCAATGATACGTTCCCTGTCAGCCCTTTTCCTACACCATCTTTATTAACGCATCATTTAAAGGTGATTTCGGTATGTAGGATTATCAATATTACGATGCCAATCATCCATTTTAACAAGCAAGGACAGCTACCGGTTCAGAACATAGGGAGTAGAGGGGAGGGGGGGAGGAAAATCAGTTTAGAGGATGAGTGCCCCTTGTCAGTCTCCAGGATCATCCTTCATTAGTGAGGAATAAACCCATTAACCTTTGCCCTGCAACATTTGGAATCACCTTCACGGCTTTTCTAATGCAGATCTTCCCCCTCTGCATCCCCAATTAAGTTTTCTTGAAAGCAGCAAACCCCATACTGCCCCTTGGATCTTCGACAGACAGCAGCTAATCCCCTCTTTCTCTTGTCTCTTCCCCGAGGTAGGCAAGAGAAGGGTAATCCCATCAAATCCACAATAGGCCCATTCCCATCAAATCCACAATAGGCCCATTCCCAAGGGCGGAGGTTCCCCAAAGAACTTTAATCCTATGTAAGGGGTGATGCCCTACCTGGCAACTATGCATTCTTTAGGGGCAGGCACTGTGACTGAGTGACAGCGTCATGCTGCCCAGTGCTGCCATGGCAATTCCACTGTACAGGAGGAACAATGAAAAGGGTTTTTTTTTAATGTGGCTTAGAGCTCTGAATTTAAAGAGCTGCATTAATATATAAACCAGACCATACGGTCCAGCCCAAAAATATAAAAACAAGGGGGAAAAAAACATTTGGCTGGAAGGGTGCAAAGCACTCTTTCCTTACCAAGAGAGCAACAATGGAAAATCGCAGATGTCTTTGTCAACCATCCTGCCAGTTATCTGAGAATTATTTAGAGAAGAATTGGCATAACATATTGGGAATTTATCAAGGCTTCATAAGTAAAAATTAAAGCACAAATGATGTTGGTAAATTAGATTAATTTCAGATCAGGTACAAAGGCGTGCAGAGCATAGAAATAAAATATATTAACATGGATGGATGGAGGTTTTCTTTCTCTGTCAATTGTAAGGAACTTCAACTTTGGAAAAAGGAAATCTTCAATTTCTGCAGTAAATGTGCCTAAAAAGGGGAACTGATTTGTGATAGGCAGAAGTTTGGATATGATTAGAGCCATGCTTTTCAGCAAATATGGAGAAAGAACACTGCTTCAAATAAGAGCTTTCATTAAGAGTCATGGCTTGGATGGTTGATATGTAAAAGGAAGTAAGCTAAGCCAGTCTTCCTCAGCTGTGCTATTTGAGAGTAGGAAAAAAAAGTGCTTTCCAGTTGTGAAGAACATGAGGTCATAAAGACTTAGGTGGTGAATAAAGACGAGACTGGGAAATCAACTCCATGGGCAAGCTAAAACTACTTTTACTGAGATTACCTATAATAACAGAACCTTTCAAGTCTGGGTTGCACATTCTTTCCATTGGTAGATTTCTATGAATCAATGAGGTGCCTGCCTGAGTCACTTCCAAATGTTATCTTGTTTCTTTGGATTTAAAAAAAAAATCACCTCATTTTGCCTTGATAATAGTTATTGATACTTTCATCAGTCATCTTCCTTACTCTTTCCACTCTACATAATGAAGTGTCCCTTCATTCACCCCTTGATCTAAGCCATGTATACCTGCTGTGGTGTCTGGGTTCTTGGCAGGACAAGGTGACTCCCAGTTTTAGCATTTCAAATAGTAAAGAGGGAGCGGGATGCCCAAACATCCAAAAATAGGTAGGCCAGTAATAAGTTTGGAAGATGAGTGGAATCAACATAGAAGTGAGTTTTTAAGTATACAGTACCTCTAATATGGTGCCCCTTTGGAAAATATTTTGGGGGGTTTTATTTGGCAAACTGCCAAGCGGGAAAAACCAAGATGGAATAGCCTTATGATTAAGATCTGGTGAAAAAGAGCCGATGATCTTCTGTCAACCTCTCGCTACAGTTTCAACAAGGTGCTCACCGTCTGCTCAATTTCAGCAGCTTCTTGCCGTGGCATGCGTTCCAGGAAGTCCTTGTAATACTTAAGGCCAATAGCTTGCTGGCTGGTGAGAGAGGCCCGAGTGCGGACGTCATCCAGAGTGCGAAAACCCTGGGCAGAACACATAACAGAACTACAGGAATTCTGTTTTCAGTAATCCCTAATAAGCGATATCATGGAACCCACCACCAATGTGCGTAACACGTGATGCGCTGTTTATAATATTGTCCTGATTTCCCCCTGAAAATCACATGCGTTTTTTTCATGAACAGTTCAAAACATGTGAGCATTCATTCCTCACACACACACACACACACACACACGATCATGGTGTTGCTCATAATGATTCAGAATGAATTTGACACTTTTGCAAGATAAGACAATTAATATATAAACTGTTGCTATTGATAATAAAGGAAAAAAAGATTGATACAAATAAAGTTAACACATTGTATCTTTACATACACTATAGGGTAGGAAAAGAGGACGTGTCCAATATAGACAGTATAAAATCTCCAGAGGAAGGTCCCCCCCACCCAAAAAATCATAACTAAAAAAGTAGCAACACTAATATAAACTCACATGCCTTGGAGCAAAGATCTAACATGAACAAATAGAAGGGAATGCCACAGAATCATAGCTAAAGGGAGGATAGAGTTACCTGCTGGTACCACATCTGGCTAGTCTTTACTCCTGCTCCCCATATATTGGAAAATAATTCTAGCACTGAGACACTGTCACTGATGTGGTCAAGTTTTCGAAGATGCCCACTCTCCAGGATTTCTACAATCTTTTCTGCCATCTGTTTTCCTATTCCGGGAATCTTACAGGCTTCCTGAAAGGAGAACAATGAAACAGCAACTAGTTCAAAGCAAAGCTCAAACACTGATTTACTCAGAGTATTTTAGGTATGCTGTGTTTCATTATGCCCAGTACACAGCCATTTTTTTAATACATACCCATCCTAAAAAAAAAACTATGATTAGCATTTAGATAACTATGCAAGCGTTACAAACACCCCCTTGTAGCTTTTACTTTTGGCCTACAGAACTTTTGCCTGAATCTCAAGGCAGCTTCAGCCTTTCTCTGCACTCTTTTCAAAAGATCAGAAGTTCAGCATAATCTTGATAAAAGATTCTGCATACATTGTAGAATTAGTAAAATACTTTCCAAACAGCAGGATGGAATAATAGGAATATGTAAGTAGGATGCAGGCCACAGCTGGTTGAAATCATGTGTCTATATAACATTAAAAAACCCCACAAATTAGAACTTTTCCTGGAGAAAAAAAAATACTAAGCCAGAAAGGTACAGATACCTTGGGAAAAGCAGATATATGACAGAAAAACAGACATCCTTAGTAAATTTTGTCTCATTTACCTGATAACACGTGACTGGCTTATGATAACTCTTGAGTGCGTTAATAGCTTTAGAGTAGCTTAGACCCCTCCACTTGTCTCCTTGGACAGAGTAGGCTTTAGCCAGCACTTCCAGCTTCTCTGTAATGCACTGATTATGATTAGTTTTCTTGCTTTCAGAAGACCGAGCACAAACCCACTTGCCAGGGGGAGAGCACACTGATGAGCCTTCTGACAAAGTGTTCAGGTCTTGGCCTGACTTCAGTGCTTTCAGTTCCTCCAGAGTGACAACAGGTTTGTCCTCTTCAATTTCTTCATTATCTAACGTCCTCTTTGGGATTCACAGAACAAGCAGAAGAGGGAGCAATGAAATTGAGTGATCATTTAGCCAATCACAGAATATGAGCTCATTCTGCAACAATATATAGACATTGTAAAGAATGGGGCACAATTCTTCATTTTCTTGGTTTCTTTTGTAATATTTGTATTGCTTTTATCTTGTTAAAATTTCTTCAATAAAAATTATATTAAAGAAATAAAAATAAAATACAGAGCAGAATTAAGACCCATGAGAAATAATCACAGAAACCCAGAGTCAAAGCAAATATCAATTGAACTAGCAATTTCATATCTACAATTTATGTTCCTAGTAATGGTGATCAAGAATTAGGAAGTACAGATGGCAAAATATCTGGGATGACCAAAATACAACTGATTGTCACAGTAAATGTGTTCTATGTTCAAAGCATGGTAAAAAGTAATAATGAATATTTTGTTCCAAGTTATAGAATTAGTAGGTATTTACCACCTCTACATTCTATAGAAATAAGCAGGTACCAAAATTCCATTTAAGATATCTTGGATACCCTATTAGGAAGCTCAGAATAGAAAAAATATTGAACAATAGTTTTTACTTTTTATTCAGTGGAATCCCGATACTATATCAAAGTCTTTAGGAAATGTACAAAATGCAACCAGAATATTCTGAAATTATGTTGTAATCCACCCAGAATCATTGAATATGAGACGGGTGGCAAATGAATTTAATAAATAAATAAATAAATGCTCCCAAAATAAAAACAAAATGTATATCAACATACTTTGAACCGAGGATTACATGATAACAGAAACAATTCACTACATATTTTTTCTATTGTCCTATATTTTTATGAAAAACAAACATCAATAAAAGACACATGTTTTATGAGCCTAATATGGATACTTTGATTTTTATTCAGTTTATTTAAATATTTAAATTTTAAAATGTATAAATAAAAAAAAACACTTTCGGATTATTATTACTTTTTAAGTATAAACCAGCTAATTTGTTTTCACAATCTCAAACAGTAAGGTGTTTCCAAACCTTAGATAAGAGTTTGGCACTGGCTAACTTTAACAGAAAATCCCTGGCTTAGCCTAAAAATCAATAATCAGGCTCACCTGCATAGCTTCCTATTGATCCTAGAAATTGGCAGGCAGCCCCCATTTAACGACCAAAATTGGGACCCAAATCTTGGCCAGTGGTGATTGTGAGATGCCTCTACAACCACTCAATCACTCAATGACCGCAATCCTGGCACTTGCAGTGCAGTCATTAAGCAATTGCACAGTAGCTAAACGAACAGATTCCCAGGAAACAAGTGGAGAGGCAGGGAGAGAAGGGTTTTAGCACAGAGGAAGTCTTCGGGCACCAAGGGATAGGGAGAGAACATTTGTAGGGCAGGTGGAGAACAATTTTAGCACAGGGGAGCCATGCAGGCACAGAGGGTCAGGGTTGAAAAGGATTTTAGCTCTGTGATTTTTTTTCCTGCTGCCCCATGCCTGCAGATATAGAAGATTGCAAATGATAATCACAGAATTGCAGGACCCTTGGTGACTAATCATAAGTGAAAATAGGTTGCCCAGCACCCAGATTAGGATTGTGCGACTACAAGGGAGGCACACAACATTTTACAAGGGCCAGAAGTGCTTTAAAGCACCCTTTCCAAAACTGTTGTAACTTCAAACAATTAATATGCAACTGGTCGCAAGTCAAAGACTACCTGTACAGTATCACAGAAAGAGCTGATCTCAGTGTTTGATTCTTCTTTTGGTTCCATAACTGTGCTCTCTGCTTTGGGGTGAATCTTATCCTCCTTCAATAATGGCGAGTGTTCCACTGAAAAGCCTGTCTCATCCAGATATCTGCCAAGAATTAACAAACAACAAATAATTGAATTTGGAGCATTTCTTGTATCAACTAAAGGCAAAAGATATGATTTTTTTCAGAGCTTACTTTAGTGAATAATCTATCCTGATTTCCAAATGTTTACTGTTTACATTAAAGAGGCACATACTGGAATGAAAAGATGACCATATTTGTAATATTTTCCTGCAGGTAAGCTGTTTTATTCTTGTTTGAGAATTTTTCTCCCATTCTTCCTTTTAGTTCTAGTTTCTTCTAGTTCAGAAAGATTCTTAATCTCCTTGCATATGGTGCATTTTTGAGACTCCTTACAGATATTCAATAATGTTCATTGTTGTGGAATATGGAGCCCATTTCAAGCAAATCAACAGACAAATCAAATATGTACTTAATAAGAAAGACATCTCTGATTTAGAGCATGATTTGGACAGCTGTCTTGTTGAAATATCCAGTTATACTTCAGCATATATTTTTTTAAACTCCCTGACTGCTTTCATGTAGATGTTAAACTGTGAAACAACAGTGGAGAAGACAGAATCCATGGAACACTGTATGTGAATGATCTTCATTTGAACAGCAATGTCCCCACATCATATTCTGGGCTAATTCTAAGAGGAAGAATCGGAATCACTGCAAAACAGTGCTCCCAAGGCTCAACCTTGCCATATAGCCCATTGATCTGAAGGATACCATGATCAATGCTGCAGAAGCTATCAAGAGGTCCAAGAGAAATAGCAGTTTACATTCCACCAATATACAGGCAGTTCTCGACCTACAACCACAATTGAGCCCAAAATTTCTGTTGCTAAGTGACACATTGATTAAGAGATTCCTCCCCCCCCACATTTTACGACCTTTCTTGCCAGTTATTAAATAAATAATTGCAGTTGTTAAGTGAATCTGGCTTCCCCATTGACTTTCCTTCTCCTGGGATACTGCAACCATTATGAATATGAGTCAGTTGCCAGGCATCTGAATTTTTATCATATGACCATGGGGAGTCTGCAACTGTTGTAAATGTGAAAAATGGTCATATAACTCATTTTTTTCAGTGCCATTTAACTTTGAAAGGTCACTAAATGAACTGTTGTATGTTGAGGACTACCTTCTTAGCACATCTACTACAGCAGTGATGGCTAACCTTTTCCATGTTGCGTGCCAAAAGTGTGCACGCACACGTGTGCCTGCACGCATGATACAATGCATGTGTGATTCCCACTCCCCCTGCGCATGTGTACCGCGCGCCTCTGTGCATGCCCACATAACCCCCACACATGCCACATGCCATTGCGCATGCATGCACGCCTCCCACAAGCACACCTCTCCCGTGCATGCATGGCAGATACCCAATAATCAGCTGGTTGGCAGGGTGCGTGCATGCGCAGTGGGGCTCTTCGGGGTGACCTCGCACGTGCCAGCAAAAGTGGCTCTGAGTGCCACTTCCGGTACGTGTGCCATAGGTTTGCCATCACGGTACTACAGTAATCAAACTAGATTCAGTGTCATTTCCCAGATGAAATATCCAGTCAAATCACTTCAGAAAATCAGCATCCAAATCATCAAAGCCATCACTTTTTCAGTTACTTTATCAAAAAATAGGATACTTCAGACTGGCCGACAGTTACACTAAAAATATTGAATGAAGTTCTTTTTCTATTACATTTTGAAGATGGATGATCAGTTTTACATAAACCTTCCCCATTCAAACTGGATAAAGTATTTAAGTGAGAGACCTACTTCTCTGGAATGATGAGTCTATAGTCAGTAGTGTCCAAGATCTGCTGTGCTGTAATACAAGAACTCAGCCATGATGCCTTAACTAGTTGAAATCCCTGAGGTAACTTTTTGAGTTTGAGGAGCCGAAAAGCCCGATCAAAATCCATGTCTTCATCTACTATTACATGTGTCACATCTGGGGAAAACTGGCTGCAGATGTGTCCTCCATTGTGGATGATCTGCTTATAGAAGATCTCAGCCCTGGCCTGGCCAATTCCTGCTTGCAACACATAAGCTGTGATTGGCTCCAACCACCCTGGTAAAAATACCACAGAGAAAGATGATCAGCAAGATAAGATTAGGTTACAAATATTTTCAGAATGAAGAAAATCTGATCGTTTGATGAAATATAGCGAAAGTTAGTGTTTTATGACATATAGTCGTGTTATTATATCACTGCACTGTAGAGATAGAACTTTTTAAAGATTAAGTCATTTCTCTGAAATGAACCATTTGTCATAAATTGTGGTTTAATAAGAATTAACAGCAATGCAAGCCACACTATGAGAACTTCACATGACTAAAGTCAGAAAGAAAAAAAATTCACCTTGTTGATTCCTGGTTTCTTCTTTCCAAATCTTTAAAGACGCAGTGGGTACCTCATCTTTCAACTTCTTTCGTTTGCGGAAAGCTTTGACAATTCCTTGAGGTTCCATGGACCATAGATGTCTCCTTGCCTAACAGGAGAATGCAGATTTGCTGAAGATGTAGGAAGGAAAAGTAAAAGAAATAATATATTTTAATGACAGGTAATTCTTAATAGGAATCCTTGTGTTCCATCATTTTGGATGTTCCATCATTTTAGAACAGATTAATAGTTCTAGTATATCTTCCACTCAGTCAGTCACAGAAATTACCCTTTTCATCGTGCCTAATCTAATACATTTGGAGATTGGTAAAATTAGCATTTCATAATTTTTGTACCTGGTAACTATATATAACTATTTCTTTATATCTCTTTGCCACTGTCAGCTTATATTTTTTAGCACTATTGGAAATGTTATTTTACTGAAGGTTAGAAAAGATAAGCAGACGCACTTGGGGAGACAATTGGAAACAGAGAGAGAATAGGTCTGGGATAGAAAATCAGTCATCTACATATGGGTGGTACAGAAAAGCATGGAATTTTACAAGATCTCCTTAGGATAGCACATAGAATTTTTTTTTCTTGAGAGTAAAATTGTAATATACTTAAATGTACTGTAATATATATTATAATGTGTATCATATATACATTACAAGTAATAAACTGTATATTGTTTTCCTGTTTAGGAACAGTATATGAAACAGTTCTTATTGTAACTTTCCTTGAAATATCTGGCTGGCCTTACTTTAGAAGAATGGAGTCCTAAAATTAGGAGGGAACAAGGATAATATGGTATTTATGATCCATAAATATGACCATTAGGGTGGGAAGTATTTTATGAATTCAGAACCCACATGAGTCAGAACACTAGTCCAGTAGCGTCAACGCTGTTGGCCTAAATTTTCCTAGTAAAAGTAAAGACCACAGAAACTGAACCTAAGATTTGCTGAACACAAAGCATGTGGTCAAACATTATAAGCTATGGTTCTTCTATCCTAGATTCAATGTTCAACCTCTTTAATCAAAAGGATGATGAACAGCCATGCTGAATGAACAGACAATTGTTAAAGAGTTGGAAAATACTTTACTGGAGAATATGAATTTGTATTCAAATTTGTATTTTTGCATTCTGCAATCTCTAGCCAGGAAACTGTGATCAAAGTCTGTGACAAAACGGCAGATGAAAAGTATAGCAGCTAAAAATAATAATAGTATCAATATTGTTACTTTTAAGTGTTATGTTAGATTTTAAACCAAATGGCACAACCTTTTATGTCAAATGACCAATTTGATCAGGAGCTGAAGTAAAAGGTATCAGCGCTGGGTTAATTTGATTTCAAATAAAAATGTCTACAAATAAATCTCTCATGCATACACCCACGACAGGTTTCCCCAATTTAGCGTTACTCAGATGCATTTCCCATAAACTCTGGTTTACAAAATATGCCTGCCAAGGATTGAAATCAACGCAGATTGTGGGACTCCTTCCTAGAGGGAGTAGAGCTCAAGAGAGGAAATTTTTTTGCATCACTACTCTAATCCGAGCCCGGCTCACTGCAGTCCAGAGACCACCCGCTTAAGAGCGTCTGAATTTGAGAGGTGGGATGAGGTCGAGCCAAAGGCTCCTAACAGCCAGGGTCAACCAAATCACCGCGACGCTTCTGTAGCCCGCTGCTGCCCGCCGCTGCTTTTCCAAGGCGATTGAGGGGCGCCGCGCCGCCCTGCATCGCTACCTTAACCACCTACGATGCCTCTCTGGTTGGAGAAAGAGGGGGAGCCCTTACGGAGCGTCCAAAGAGAGGCCGAGAACGATACCGAAGAGGGCAACGTTCCCTTACCGAAAGTATAGCTGTGACACAAGAGCGGCCAGTTTGCGGCATTTTCTTCCGGGTCAGGGCCGGAAGACAGGGAGGCGTTGCCTTGGTAACGTGCGGAGCCGCAATATGGCTGGCACCAGCTGGCTGGAGCGGTTGCGTGCCGCTCGCAAGACCGCCTTGCTCGCCGATGGTAACGGGATGGCTGGGGCTGGGATAGTGGCGATCTGGGGAAATGACCTGGGCAAATGGGGAACGTGTGAAGTTGGGGAACTTTCTAAAGTGGGAGAAAGCCGTGCAGTTCCGGTCTCCCAAGTGGCGAGGAAGCTGTGGTATCTATCGTGCTGCCTTCGCTTTTGGATGCGGCAACCCCGGGGCGATCTAGTAGGGATACACTGAAAATCCAACTTAAAAATCATTTTAAAGTTTTTTTTAAAAGAAGTAATGGAAAACATTCCCGATACTGTTTTATTTCTAACTGAACTGTATTCACCACTGTGAGGAGCATGTGGAAATCAACCCGTTAACATTGGTGCTTATTTCCATCAAAACTTGGTTTAGTAGAGGAGTAGTATGGATGGAAAGCTGTGAGCCTTTAAAAGTCACTCTGGCTAAATGGGGATTTCCTCCTATTTCTCCTGTTTAGGTCCACCTATCTTGTGCTCTCTTTAGGTAAACGAAAAATCCATTACTTGTTTGAGGATGGAAAGGAGATGGCAGAAGAATATGACCTGAAAACACACCAGCTACTCTGTAAGCCAGAGAACCTTTCTTACTTCTAGTTAAAAGTTGGGAATGCAAATGGTCCAGGTAGATTCGAAATACAGGTTTTGCCTTTAATAGTATTGCACATTCTGCGGGTCAGTAAAGCAAACTTTACCATGAAAAAGATCCATAGTCAGAAAGGGTGATGAAATCAATGTTGGCTTTGCCTCTGAGACTACAGGGCTAGGCTACATTCTTATCTTTTTCCTTATCCACAGCATTAACCCTAAACTTTGATGTCTCAGTTATACTACAGTATATGATGAATCTAAAAATTAATCCACTTACTGTCTTTGTACTGCTCCTGAGATTGCATGACTTTATCATGCTTCTCTTGACAAAACCTGTACAAGCAAATGTAAACAGGAATTTCAGGGCACAATGCTGTGATGGTGTTGGTGGTTGTTGTTTTTTTTTTTTTTTGAGACAGAGAGAGAGAGAATTTGACTATCAGCTGTAGATCAAATGCAGGCTCTATTTATAGTGAAATCAAGCTTTAAATTCTTGTACTTTTCTGTCCCAGGTGTATATAAGTAGTCTTGCTTAACAACCATTTGTTCAGCAACTATTCTGAAATACAGTAGCTTTGAACAAAGGGGCTTATGACTAGTCTTTGAAGTTCTAGCCATCACAATGCCCTTATGGTCAAATGAATAAAATTCAGCCTGCCTGAATTTATGACCAGTCTCCTGCTGCCTTACCCCCACCACCAGCTGACCTTTGCATCATCTTTGCTTGCCTCCATTTGCTGGGCTCATCACATGCAGGGGAAGTGCCATGAAAACACTCCACAAGGCAGCAGATGAGAGCTACAGAACAGGCGGGTGTGTGTTCTGCTGTGGCACCATGCACCACTGCCAACTAAGTCCTTCTTTTGCACTGTTCTTTCGCATGCAGGCCAGGTCCTTTCTTTCTCACACCAGCCAGGGCTTTCTTTTGTGTGATGGCCAGGGCCTTATTTGGGCATCTTCCTTATTAGTGTGAAAGGAGGACAAGGCTACGCTAACGCAAAAGAAGGGGCAAGGGCAGCTGGCAGCAGCAGATAGGTAGATGACTTACAGGGCAGAGATGGATAGAAAATAGGGGAATGGGGAGGTGGGAATTAAAGTGGAGATAGTCAGAATGGCTTGGATATGGATGGGTCCTCTTCTAATGACTGCATATGATCCACTGAACAATAACTATAACTATAATAACAGATTGCCATGACTGCCATTGTTAAGCTGAGCAGTCATCGGATGTTTTGCTTAATGACCATGTTGCTTAGCAATGGAGTTGCCAGCCCACTTAAGGTAGTTAAGTGATGATTACCTGTAATATAACTGTAATAACAGCTTGTTGTTATCCAGGAGGAGGGGGAGAGGAAATTCCAACTGGCCCTTGTTTTGGACAAATTAGACTAATCAGGTTGTTGTTTTTAAAACTATTTTTCATGCATTTCCAAAATCAGTGCCTTGAGCATGAATTGAACTGGAAAGTATCAATATGTGTTGGTATCTATAGGACTGAAACCTGAATGAATTAGCCGCACTTCCTAGATGACTTGACTCTCTAGGCCTACGCGACTAAGCCTATGCAATGTTTCAGATCTGAGGAAAAAAACTGTTTTGGAATGCATTAGTATGCTTGTATAACACCTGTCTACGACTCCTGAAAACAACTATGCCTTTTCCTAGAATAGTGCAATTGCCCTATTTAACTATGGCAGAATCCCAGGGAAAAGATTCATGTGATTTAAATGCAAATTTATTTATTTTTATCCTTTTGTTATTTTTTAAATAAATAACTCAAGTTGGCAAACATATTACATAATACTCATTCCTCCTCCTACTTTCTCCATTATAACAACTCTGTGAGGTGGTTTGGACTGATGCTATGTGTTCTGAAGCAAACTTTTGCTTTTGGATCTGAAATGCTGCACAACCATCAGGACAAAGCTAGTAAGTTGCATAATGTGAAGCTCAAAGCCAGCAGTTTTAAATGCTCTTTTAATACATGTTCATGTTATTAATATGTAAAAAAGTCTACAAGTAGTCCTTGGGTTACAACAGCAATTGGACCAGAACTACTAAGTGACATGGTGATAAAGTGTGACATCATGGGATAGCATTGCTTATCTATGGGAGTCCTAGCAGTTCACGTTGCTGTTGATATGTGAGGACCGTGTAGAAGTTAAGCAAGGAACTCATGTGATCACCACTTCCGACTTCCTGCAAACTTCCACATTGATTTTGCTTGTGAAAAGCCAGCAGGGAACGTTGGAAAGTATGATCATGTGACTGCAGCCCAGTGCAATATTGGAATCATGAGCTGGGCATTGAGCACTCATATCATGATCATGTGACTATGAGGATGCTGCAAACAGCTAAAATTCTGAGGACATATAACTCCCCCTTGTTCAATGGTTTTGCAAGTTTGAATGGCCACTAAATGAATTATCAGAAGCCAAGAATCCACCTGTATTCTGTTTCTGCAAAAAGAGGCATAATTAAAAATAAATTGAAATTCAAAGTATTTGACTTAACTTGTATAGCAATTACCCGCTAGTTTCTTAATATCCCAATTGGGAATATTTTCCTGAAAAGATAAATATCTCATTTTTTTTTCTTTATCCTTGTCATTTCTGTGTAGTAAGAAAATGGAGAGAGAAGAATGCCTTGGGTGCACATGGCAATTGGGAGGTTGAAGTGGGAGAACCCACGTTGCTTGCAGCAGGAGCACTGGACCGTGAGTTCATAAAGGAGAGCAATACCAATGTAAACACAATATTTATACCTCAGCATTTGACATGAGAGAAAATATACTTCATTCAATTTTTCTACCTTGATTTTTTTTTTTTCATTTAGAAAATAGTGAGGCTTTCTTTCTATACCAAGCTTCATGAATAATTCAGAATATTAGAAATGTCCGTTATGCTCTTCCTTTCTACTTTGGCACTGTGTTTTTCCTATATATAAAGGTTTATTTGTTAAATGTGTCATCATGCCATTCCTACAAGTTTAACTCAACCTAAGCATTTGCTGCTTCCAATTTTTCCTCACAACATGTTTATGACAAAAGTTGAATTAAGCGATAGCAACCATACTTTAAATTTCAATGTAATTTAAACAGGAATTACAATTTGACCTCACTATGGTCAAAAAGAGCTGAATTAACATTGCATGGAGACATTTTATAATTATGAAGAGTTTAATATGACTCCTTTATGAGAGTCATGTTCAAGTCCATTCTTAGCCATGGAAGGTCACTGGGTGTATTTGAGCTAGGTAAAAGCAGCAGGCAAGCATGTGCATGCTCCATTTGTACAAGTGGTGGGCGCACGTGCCTGCCGTTCACACAAATTGAGTTGTGCGGTTGCCCGCTGCTCACGCAGAACCATCCCCTCTCCCGCCCTGTTGGGCCGCAAAGCAGAAAAGGTTGGGTAGCTATGCTTTTAGAACCAGATTGGTAGCCATTCATTAAATCACGTGTGCTTCCAGATATACTGTTGTGTTGTGTTTCTCATCCTCCGCATTTTAAAAATGTGTGGCTGGGGAATTCTGGTAGTTGAAGTCCACATATCTTAAAATTGCTGAGTTTGAGCAACACTGGTGTGGTATATTGATTGCTTTAGGGAATGTAAATGTTCTCCAATCTTTTTATGGCTCTGGGCAATTTGGGTGGCTTCCAAAATACAATAAAGCACCTATAAAAACATGTATAAAGTATAACACATATAAAACACATCAGCTAAAACAGTTAAATTGTAAGCCCTTGGGTAGTAAATACGTTTCCAGCTCTTTCCTAAATTGTAATGAGGAGGCATGCTTTAATTCCACTGACAATTTATTCCATGACACAGGCTATAATTTAGCCAAAAATGCCAAGAGCTAGATAATATTTTTATAAAAGGTTTATGCTCTGTATTATGGTTCTGCCTTAAATTTAGGATCTCTTTCAAATGTTCTTCCTGCATAAACTCAAAAGTTCAGACTGCCCCGGGAGCTGCTGATGCAGTTTTACAGAGGAATTATTGAGTCTATAATTGTCTGGTATGATACAGCAACCAAACAGGACAGGTACAGAGTCCAAAGGATAGTCAAGATTGCAGAAATAATAATTGCAACCACCCTGCCTTCCATAGAAGACCTATATATTGCGCGGGTCAGGAGGGCTGAGAAAATATCTGCAGATTCCTTACATCCTGGACGCAAAATGTTTCAGCTCCTTCCCTCAAGACAGTATTGCATGCCTAGGTACAGGGGCAGTTTTTTCT